CATATACTCGTATGCAATCTCAAGTGCAAAGATCCGATATAAATAATAGGTGAACAACATGGATCTAGAACATGCACAATAAATGTATAGGATTTGCTCCCCCTAAATATATGCATACAAATAAATATACAAGAGATGCAAGTGTATGCATAATTAGAGAATGACCAATGGGGGTTTATCCTATACATATAGAGAAGGCATATGTAGTAATGATGTAGACCAACATAAAACATATACCTTCATGATCTCCATGTTCTCAATGTAAATGAGACTAAATAAGATAACATTCGAGCAAACATTAGTCTCACACTTATATATCAATAACATGGAAATCATATATATGAACCTATCAAAAAGTAGGAGATAAGAAGTGGTACATATCGTTTTATCTCCATGCATTTCATTCTTGTCATGATTAAGGTCCATCACAAAAGAATGCATGTCTTCCACATCTCATTATCGGAAAATAACCTAGTAGACAACTTATGCAAAAGAGAGGTTAATCCCATAAACATCGGTTTATCATCTATCACCAAAGTAACAATTACACAAATTGTTTAATCCAAGATCTTTCAATCTTTTCTCTCTTTGGTGATGGATAATAACCCGATATAAACAATATAGAGAGATGAGATGAAAAATGATTTCAAATCAAGATAGAAATCTTATAATAAATAAAATATAGAATAAGCTCCCCCTCAAGATGTGCATACATATGGATATGAAGGAACGCATATGCACATAATCAATAAAGATCAAATAGGAAGCTCACACTATATTTTGGATCCACAAGAGAGACCAAGTTAGAATATGTGAAGTTTAATACATACCTCTTATCATTTTTACTTCCATATCCAAATGAGACTAGTCAAAGAAAGGCTCATAAAAACGTTAGTCTCATATAATTAGATTTGTCATTAATCACCGAAACCAAATTAAGGCATTTGAACTTACAACCTCGCGGTCGCTGCCGCACCTCGCAGTCACCGGCGCTCTCCCTCCATGAGCCATCGCCGCCGCACCTCGCGGTCTCCGCCGCTCTCCCTCCACGAGTCGCCGCCGCCGCCAGCACTCAGAGAGAGAGAGAGAGAGACGGAATACGGGGAGAGATGTAGATATGGATAGGGTTTGGTCAAGGGTATTTTAGTCATTACAAAAAATAATTGCATTTCTTTCTTTTTTAAAAAAATGAAAACTTAACAGTGTTAAAAAACAGGGCCAAATGGAGTGTTCGTTTTAAAAAAGTAGGGTCAAATAAGCAAACTAGAAAAAGTAGGGCCATATTGGTAGTTAAGCTTCAAAACAGGGTCAAATAAGCAATTGCCCCTAAAAATAAACACAAACAGGATTACATATCGGTTGTGGGCCAATTAAGCTTCACATTTGTATCAGACACAACTTAGGATATAGTTTGTCTGGCTTTAGTAGCAGAGCTACTGGTGCATTTGTATAGTCTCATTTGTTCACTATAATCTTCACAAAATGAATGGTATATGTACGGCGGATGTGGATTCATAGGGTTCAACCATGCTCCTTCTTTAACTTTGACAAATGTAGCCCATGTCAATTAATCTTATCCGATAGGTCTAACCATCTAAGGTAGGAGTAATATGCATGGTTATTCTTGACACATGCAAAGTGGTGTATACAAATTATAAAGTGATGTGATGCCAATTGACCATTTTAATTTGCCTTTGCGACAAAAATGTCAGCTCGAGGGAAAGCACAAAGGCAAACTGCATGTGTTAGAGCAAGTATAATAATAGGCTATAAGCCGGCTAAATACTGAGGTGGAGAAGAGAAGAGAGGAGAAGCGGGCTGTAAACTTACAGCCGGCTTGGACACAATAACCAAGAAACTCTGTGAGAGAGACAAGTGGGCCCTGTATTAATTGTGAAGAGCTAACTATTATATGGATAAGATAAGAGAATGATACAAATAACCTTATAGCCAACAAATCGGCTATATTATTAGCTCTTAGGAATGACCGATATTAATGGGCGAGCGCTACATTTTTAGGTTGGTTTGGACTGACACACCCCGAAAACTTTGGTAGTATTAAAGTGGCCAAGTTTTTGCATCATCCAAATTTGTAAGGTGGAGATAAACCCAAAAAAAGTGTTTGGTTCCATATAAAATCATGTTATCGTGAGATGAATAGATGGGTACCGTATAATTGAAATTTTTGTAGGTAATATTGTGTAGGGGTGAAAACGGAGCGGATTCGGACGGATAGCGGTCATACCATATCCTAAACTATACTCCCTCCATTCCAAAATATAAGGCATAACCACCCCTAACTCAAAGACCAAGAAAAATAATTATTATCATCTTGTTTGTATCATCCTAATAAATACAATGCATGCATCCAATATAATTAGAGAACATGAGAGTGGAGGATTTAAAAAAGTAATAATTTAATGGAGAAGTGGCCATAGTTAATTGCCTACATGAATGCATGTCTTACATTATAAAACATCTTAAAAAAAAGTGGTTGTCCCTTGTATTATGGAATGGAGGGAGTATTTTTTAAGCGGATTTGGAGCGGGTGCGGATAGTGTACGGATTCGGAGCGGGTGCGGATAAAGTGGCCAAGTTTTTGCATCATCCAAATTTGTAAGGTGGAGATAAACCCAAAAAAAAGTGTTTGGTTCCATATAAAATCATGTTATCGTGAGATGAATAGATGGGTACCGTATAATTGAAATTTTTGTAGGTAATATTGTGTAGGGGTGAAAACAGAGCGGATTCGGACGGATAGCGGTCATACCATATCCTAAACTATACTCCCTCCATTCCAAAATATAAGGCATAACCACCCCTAACTCAAAGACCAAGAAAAATAATTATTATCATATTGTTTGTATCATCCTAATAAATACAATGCATGCATCCAATATAATTAGAGAACATGAGAGTGGAGGATTTAAAAAAGTAATAATTTAATGGAGAAGGGGCCATAGTTAATTGCCTACATGCATGCATGCCTTATATTATGAAACATATTAAAAAAAGTGGTTGTCCCTTGTATTATGGAATGGAGGGAGTATTTTTTAAGCGGATTCGGAGCGGGTGCGGATAGTGTACGGATGCGGAGCGGATTGTTTCGGATGTCAGAAATGGTGCGGAGTAGGTGTGGAATCGGTTCGGAAACGGATTAAATTTATCGGATGTTACGTGTATATGCAATCAATGCAACATTGAGTTAGCAAACAAGGAACAATAATACAATAATCAACAAATGACCCATCGTAATAATTATATAATTAAGTGCTAAACAACATGAATACATGATGCTCATAATATAAAAATTATAGCTACATGAGTGTGACATGAGATGATAAAAGCCTTAGACTAAAAGATCTACTATGTTAATTGATGAATTAGGGCATTGGATGTACTAACTTATGTTATATGCAACAAATAGAGTGATTATATATATATGTTGATAATTTTGGATTATCCGACAAAAATATCGGATAATCCGCATCCGCCGGATTTTAGAGATACCATTTCCGCGTCCGTCTCATACTATCCGCATCCGCATCCGCCGGATTTCTAGAAGCCCATACCATATCCTCGTTTCGGACAGATTCGGAGCGGATCGGATTAGATATTATCCGATCCGTTTTCACCCCTAATATTGTGACAGAGTAGCCCTGTTACATACTCCCTCCATTTTATAAATAAACGAATCTAGGATTGGATGTGACACATTCTAGTATTATAAATCTGGACATATGTATATCTAGATTTGTTGTATTAGGATGTGTCATATTCGGTGTTAGACTGGTTTTTTATAGGAACAATACATCAATAAGCGAATCAAATTATTGTTGCAGAAACAGTACAATAAAGCAATGCTGCTTTTTTCTCCCAAAAAAATCATAAAAAAACAGCAATGAATTTTCCCCGAATATTATTGTAAACTGGAGTTTGTAAAAAAAAGAAAAGGTAAACTGGAGATGTCATGTCATTTTCAGGCCCAGTTATAGCATTTGTTGGGCCAGACACGTTTCTTAGGCCCGGCCCAAACTGCTGGGAATCATTGTGACAGAGTAGCCCTGTTACGTACTAGATTAAGGGTAGTCCCAACCCATAACAATAGACATGGTTTTCATAAACTCCACATTATTAAGAAACTAGTACTAGACACTACTCTTTCAATACAAACACCACTATTCCATACTTTAATTTAATGCTACTTATCTCACATGATGTATTGGATGTTGTGTAGAAACCATGTCTCATGCAAGACATTGTTTCCTTCTCTTTCCTCATTTATTCACTTGCCACATCATTTTTTTCCTAGGTGGCAAATTATTTAATGATATGAACACCATCCTAGTTATTGGGTTGGGAATGCCCAAACCCAAATCCAAAGAATACATCAATAGGCGAATCAAATTATTGTTGGAAACAGTGCAATAAAGCAATGATGTTTTTTTTTCTCCCAAAAAAATCAGAAAAAAAAGCAGCAATGAGTTTTCCCCGAATATCATTAGTAAACTGGAGTTTGTAAAAAAAAAAGAAGGTAAACTGGAGACGTCATGCCCTTCTCAGGTCCAGGTGTAGCATTTGTTGGGCCAGCCACGTTTCTTAGGCCCGGCCCAAACTGCAGGGAAGCTATTTTTTTTTCGATTTTGTTATATCTCACTCGAAAGATTTTTTTTCTTATCTTTCACCGATTTTCTCACTCAAATTTACAGTGTATTTTCTTATAAGTTACAATGTAATTTATAAAACTTACATTGTAATTTTTGTAAGTTACAATGTAAATTTTTGAATCTTCACGTGTAAGTTTTAAAATTTATATTGGATTTGGTCTTTTTGTTGAAGATATGGTAATTAGGATCCATTATGGTGTTTCTTAGTTGTTTTTTTTACTTCTATTGTGTCTATTGGATTTTAATCCAAAAATTAAAAATATGTATGACATGGTTATAAAAATCTTTTGGAAGATACTCTTTTTTTTTAATTTTTCAATTAACATCCTCAACTGGATTTTTTTTTCTTTCCAGGCATTCCCAAGACGGCGTTCTGTTCATTCATCTCCACTCCAATCGCCATGGCAGAGAAGTAGATTCCGAGTGTTGCATCTCTCTCAAGAAGGAGGAGAAGATGATGCCGAGTGAGTAGCAACAAGTTTCCATCTTCTAAGATTGGTCTTCTTTTTTTTTTCTTTTGCTATTCCAGGCGTTTGCGGGGGACCAAGAAAGGAGCCGCCTTTTTAGCTTCCTCTCTCGCGGGGTTACTTTCTCGCGTCACAAATTTTAGCCCTTCTTCTTCCCTATGGCTTCCCGCAATCCAACCACACGTCCCCCTCCCCACCATTCTTGGGGTTTGCTCGGGAGCTGGAAGGAATGTGTATGGAGTGAATGATTTCGAGAGCTGGGAGGAAGGAAGAGGAAGCGAAATCTGCCCCCATTTTCTTTTCTTGATAGAAAGGTTTGGTGCTGATTTGTTCTATCTTCCTTTTATGGGTGTTGCAAGTAACCTTCGTTTATCTGTATTGATGAATATTGCAAAATATTACGCTGAAATTGTAAGAGATTGATGCCTAGTCTAATCGATTAAGGATGGTTCCAGGTCTGCAAGAATTGAGGAATTTGTGTGAGAAATAATTAGGGACAAGAATACATTGATTTTGGAAGGCAATGTCTAGCTTCGTTGGGGTTCTTGTGTCAGATCCATGGCTTCAGAGCCAGTTCACCCAAGTGCAGCTACGAACTCTAAAAACCAAAGTAAGCACCAGGGGGGATTTCATCCATGTGAAAAATTCTGTTATTCCATAATTGCACAATCACATTGCTACCTCTTATGTTTCACTTCTATAGTTTGTGTCCGTGAAGAAATCGGATGCGGATCATGTAGCTGTAAAAGATTTGCCACCGGTAATGGAGAAGCTTAGGGGCATCCATGAGGTTCTATCTGAGGAAGAGATTAGCACTTTTTTAGGCGAGTCTTATCCCGATATGAACCAAACAATAGAGTTCGAGTCATTCCTCAGGGTACAGTGGATTATCTTGACTTATCTAATACTTTTAGTTATGATTTTTCATTTATATTTGGGAAATAAATTCGTTGATGGTTGCACTTTATTAGGAGTACTTAAATCTTCAAGCAAAGGGGAGCAGCAAAACAGGAGGCAAAAAGAAATTGAAGGGATCTGTGTCTTTTTTGAAGGCCTCAACAACTACTCTCTTGCACGTCATTAATGAGTCTGAGAAAACATCTTATGTCAACCACATCAACAATTTCCTGGGAGAGGATTCTTTCCTGAAGAATTTCTTACCTTTGGATCCATCCACAAATGATATATTTAATCTTGTCCGGGATGGTGTTCTACTTTGGTTAGTTTGTTCTTGTCAGTGTCCATATATATTATTTTAGTACGACGATATTTTCGTCGTTTTGATCCAAGGATAACTGTTCTCTAAGGCAGTTATTTCCTTATCATGCACTGAATCAGCAAGTTGATCAATGTCGCTGTTCCGGGTACAATCGATGAGAGAGCAATCAATACAAAGAAGGACCCTAACCCGTGGGAGAGGAATGAGAATCACACCCTTTGTCTTAACTCTGCAAAGGCCATTGGCTGCACTGTTGTTAACATTGGCACACAGGACTTGATTGAAGCTAGAGTATGTCTTTTGTGCTACTATTTTCCTTGATGAAACTTTGCAAACTTCAAATAGTTCTCATGACTTCCTTACTTTTTACTATTTAATTATTCAATTCATTATGTTCCCTTGTGGCTCATCATCCTATCAAAATTAGTAAAGCAATAGAGATTTATCTGAAAAAAACACATTTTATAATGATGCTATTTTTAGGCTGGCATAACTACAAATGCAATGTAGGCAACTAAAAAAAAAATCATGGAATGAATGTTTGAAGTTGTATTCCATGTCAATGATATTTAGGAAGTTTTCTTTTTTGTATTAACCGATTATTCGATGAGTATAAAAGTTACCGGTACTTTAGTTACTTTACTGTACTTTATCTATCCCTCATCATGAAAACATGTCATGTGAGGCATTGACATGGTCTTTCAAATGTAACTTTGACCACTGATTTCCGTTGTATTTTTAAAACTCAATAAATTAAAATATCATGAAAGTATTTTCCAAGAAGAGTCTATAGATGATTTTCTTGTATCCATTGAACTACTATAAACAAATATTCATTCACAAAGTTTTCAAATCCTGACTTGATGTATGTCTACAACACATTTTTTGTGACTATATGGAGTATGACTAAATTGTTAACATTGTTTTGATCACTGAAATATCTTTCTTATTGCAGCCTCATCTAGTTCTTGGTTTGTTATCCCAAATCATAAAGGTATGTGATAATTGTCAATTTGCCACCACCATGTCAAATATTAAATAGAAAAATCAGCAAAAATGCACATGCCACATCATCTCATATCAATTTCAGTTGGTCATTTATTATGATTTTCATTTCACAGATACAACTGTTAGCTGATCTGAATTTAAAGAAGACACCTCAGTTGGCAGAGTTGGTGGCTGATGATAATAGCAAGGTTTGAACTTTGAATAATGAAGTACTTAACTGTTTGTGCATGGATTTTCTTGAACATAATCTGTCAAATCTATGTTGCTATGATATTATACAGGAAGCAGAGGAGCTAGTCACATTAGCACCAGATAAGATGTTGCTCAAATGGATGAACTTTCATCTTAAGAAAGCAGGGTACAAGAAAACTGTGACAAACTTCTCTACTGATGTTAAGGTATGAATATATCATAATATATTTTTTTTTTCTAACATAGATCTGGACAATGCGCAGCCTTTAGAATATCTTCTTATAGCTTAGATATTCTTTTTACTGTTGTGCCATGTTTATGATAGAGGGATGGAATTTCCTATATCACAACCACATTCTAGAAAATGCTAATAAAATGTAACGGCTTCTTTATATTTGGTTTCATTATTTTGTTTCTTATGAATAATGTAATTGCAGGATGGCGAAGCATATGCTTACCTTCTCAACACCCTAGCTCCCGAACTTAGCTCCACAACCATGATAGAAACTTCAGATCCTAATGAAAGGGCAAAGAAAGTTCTTGAAACTGCAGAAAAGCTCGAGTGTACTAGATATGTAACGTCTAAAGATATTGTGGAGGGTTCTGCAAATCTCAACTTGGCTTTTGTTGCTCAAATATTCCACCACAGGTAAGTGCAGTGCAGTGAACCGATCTTTTGTATCTAGTAATAATTTTGTTCACCTCAGGCAAGGACTCACAATACATCATTAATTTGTTAGGATTTGATCTTCTTTTATCTGTCTTAACCACAAAGAAATTTCAGACGTTTTCTATTGCAGAAACCATATACTCTAACAGTTTAAAATCCTTTTCCTCTTTGTTAATGCATAGTACGAAATGATTGCAGAAATGGCCTGTCAGACAACAATGTGGCTCCTGTTGTTCAAGACACTCCAGATGACGTTGAAGCAACCAGGGAAGAGAGAGCATTTCGTTTGTGGATCAACAGCCTTGGAATTGCAACTTATGTTAACAATTTGTTTGAGGATGTAAGGACTGGGTAAGTCCCATCTTTAACTACATCATGACTTTTCTTGATTTATATTTTGGTATCTGAGGGAAGTATTTTTGCAGATGGGTCCTGTTAGAGGTTCTTGACAAAATTTCTCCAGGAATAGTTAACTGGAAGCAAGCTTCTAAGCCACCAATCATTATGCCTTTTAGAAAGGTGGAGAACGGCAACCAGGTTATCGAAATCGGAAAGGAGTTAAAATTCTCTGTGGTTAACATTTCAGGAAATGACATTGTTCAAGGAAATAAGAAGCTAATTCTAGGTAAACTACTGCATATAGTTCAGTTGCTTTTACATTCCTTACAATATTGTTTTGAACCCTTGTCACATTATTAATCAATATGGATGACAGTTTCTTCTCCTGCAAAAATGGAGCAAACAGATATTATATCCATGCATTTGTAGCTGATTTTACTGAAGTATTTATTTGTGGAAAATAAACACACACACAAACACACACTCATATAGAGGATCTGAGGATGGCACTTGCATGTAAGGGGTATTGATAATCATTGGCAGCTATTTCATGTAAGAGGGGGGAAATGAGAGAAATAAATGGGTAAAAGAAACCTAAAAAATAATCCATTGAATTGGTATTTTTCGACTTTGTAATTGATTTTTATGTTGGCCTTGACGTTTGCTTAATTCTCATTTTCAAGCTTTCCTGTGGCAACTCATGAGGACTAGTATCCTACAATTGCTAAAAAACCTGAGAACCCATTCCAAAGACAAAGAGATAACCGATGCTGATATTCTCATTTGGGCAAATAATAAGGTCAAGGAATCAGGCAAAACATCCTGTATTGAAAACTTCAAGGTTCATCAACCTTCCCTGTTTCACTTAATTTTAGCAATTGTCTCATCGGCTGACCTTACAGTAATACGCATTGATTTTTTAGGATAAAAGCATAGCAAATGGAGTTTTCTTCCTAGAGCTTCTCCACGCTGTTAACCACAGGCATGTTGACTTGAGCATGGTGAAGAAGGGGGAGGATGGTGTGTATCATTGGTCTCCTGCACACTATTCTTGTTTCAACTTAAGATTTTTCATTGTTTTAACCTGTCGCTTCACGATTACCTATTATTTCATTTTATTTTTATTGGCTACAGATGAAGAGAAGAAATCAAATGCCACTTACACCATCAGTGTTGCTAGGAAGCTTGGGTGCACCCTCTTCATGTTGCCAGAGGACATAATGGAGGTAAACACAGGGAAACTGGTTCAATGGTTCTTAGATCCATGGCAATATTTGACAGTACTTAGATAATGAATTTCAAAACTTCACTGAATAAACCAAGAAATTTATCCTAGTCTTTCGCGTAATTTCTAGCTTGGCGACTAATTGGCAACCCAAAGTTAAGGCAGTAATTTGTGCTTTCTATTTTTCCTGTGGCAGGTGAATCCAAAGATGATCCTGGTTCTTACTGCAAGCATCATGTATTGGAGTCTGCAGAAACATGGACCTTACCAAGTCCCTGAACGAGTGCCACAGGAGACCCTCGCAGAGGAAGAGGAGGAAGACGAGGAAGGAGACTTCGAGGAGGACGAGGAAGAGGAAAGTATCGAAGATGGTGTCTCCAATCTGACAACTTGATGAGACTGTAACAACTAACTTATGTGTACACTGTACACGGTAAAGAAATTGCCGGTTTAATTAATTGCCGGTTTACTTGGGAAGCTGTTTGACAATGGCACGCTATCTTCAAAGAAGGAGGTTTTGGTCTAAATTTGGCTCGTTCTTTGCATGCTAAACAAAGTTTATGCGAGCTACTACCCCGCGTTATAAAGTTGGAGAGCTTGTATAAAGAGCGTTTCTTACTTTCCCTCTTTGCTATCGTTCAGAATAGAGGATTTTAGACAAATATCATGGGAGTTAAATTAATTTATGTGAAAATCCTGTAAAATTTCTGTGTTTCAAGAAAGGTCCTATGGTAGGTCGATGAATATGCCGCGCTTTCAAGAGTTTATAACAAAAGATATATACATGAAAAAATACATGGCATGTCTACTTATGTAGAATGTACCTATCTCAAAAGTAGGCTTCACTATAGATGTGATGTAGTGTCCTAATAATTACTCCCTCTATCCCATTTTGATCATCACCTAAACAAAGAGTGCAGAGACCAAGGACAATAAAACGTTCATCATTGTGTAATAAATTCTCATCGATTAAGATGCTACGTCGCTTTGTGTTCCGTGGATTGCATCAAGTTTTAAATATCGCATGTAGTTGGACCAATAGAAATTAATCTTGGTTGGTTGCATGCGGTGCATTCAATGATGCTCATTTACTCTTGACACAATTAAAAAAAAATGCAGTTGTTAGAGGATAATTATTTTTGAAAGACCTTAAACACCTTATGTGATGATCAAACTGGGATAGATAGAGTATTGGCTAGAATTTGGAGATCAAAACTTTGGATCGGGTGCCCGATTCGGCAAAAAAAATCAAGAGCTCCATACGTCCCCGGCCTATATGCATGGGAGATGATGAGGACATCACTCCTTTGGATACACACGCTACTCCTCAAGTTGTTTTGTAAGGTCCAATCACTAGAGCTCGCGCCCGGCAATTAAATTTATAGGTGAGCTCGTTCCTAAGTACTTCTTTATATACTCTTGAGAATAGATTGCTACCTAATGATTTAATTATGATTAGAAACCATAGAGAGGACCATGGAGCACTTGGAGAGAGGCTAGGAGATGGACAAGGTCATCATGGATGTTCAAGTCAAGATGGAGGTCCGACTCAAATCAAGTTTGAGTTCACTTCGGGCTCTAGGAGAAGTCCACACTAAATTCGTCGCTCAGGTTGCATTTGGACTCCGATTTCAACGTTCTACATATGTATGGAAAGCTAATGAGACCACATTTCCAATGGATCTGGTCCCACATCAAAATTCCTTCCGAGTCAACGGGAATATTAGAATCAAGAAGATGTTCAAAATCTGTCCGGGTGCTGCGTCACCGTCTTTGGGCCCGTTGGGCCGTGTATCGTGTCGGAGTCTAATAGGGACGTGTCCAGGGGTCTAAAGTCAACCCTAGAACCTATATATTTAGTAGTCGTCATTGAGTTAGGGTTAGGTTTTACTTAGATTACTTCTGCCATCGCAATTTCGCTACTACATTGGTTTGTGAAACCCTAACTTCGAATTATTGAATAATCATTCATCTGTAATTGGGTTGTTATTTTTCTTGTTCTTGCTTGTATTCTTCGATTCACCTGCAGAGATTAGCCTTCTCGGTGAGGTCGATCGGGTTTCGGCACAGTTGATAACCAGAGGAGATGTGGTGCTGCGATTGCAGGGTTTAGATTGTGTTGATCGAAAGCCGGATCGTGTGTATCAAGTTTTCACCAAATCGATAGTTATCTTCACCTGAAGGAAGATCGGGCACCCCGTTGCTATCAGGATACCTCTTGGCTCCTCTCAAGCCCACTCTCAAGCCCACTGTTTGCGTGCACATGCAAACCCTCTTTCTCTCTCCTTTGTTTTTCAGTAACAACATTTCTTTTCTAATCTTGAAACATTTATTTCTCTTAAATTGTATTCTCAATCTATAAACTGATTATACCATTCAATTCATTATAATTAAATCTTTACAATAAGATCTTACATGATTATGTTTTGATAAAACAATATTCATAAAAAATCGAGTATTGTTTCATTGCTTATAAAAAATGTTTCAAATAAATTTATAAAATATTTCAGAGAGACGCCACATTTGAAAAACACCAACTGCACCACCGACAACTATTGCCCGAAACATTGAGTCCCAACGAGTGAAACATAAGAGAACTCATACATAACATACTATATATTTACATATACTTAATTTTATTGAAACATTTTTTTAGATCACACACGAAACATTTATTCGTAGTGGTTGAAACATCATAAAATAATTGATGAAAACATCCAAAAGAACATCACATGCAACATCGGTAAATGTTCTAGTGAAATAATATGAATACTCATTGAAAAATTAAAAAAATACACCCATTAAAAAAATAAAATATACTTTTTTCTCAGAATATAATGATGCAAGATTTTGTTGTAAAAATTTAATTACAACAAACATAATAGTATAATTAGATCCTAAATCGGGTACATAGTTTAGGAGAATTTTTTTTTAAAGATTTGCTCTTGGTAGTTATTGGAGAGGAGTAGGAAGGTGTAGAGGCTTTGCGTGCATGTGTGGCTAGAATTGAGAGAAAAATAGGGAGGTTATCTTTGGTGGTTGATTTTTTTTAGCTGGAATCGGGCTCCTGGGTGGGAGCATTCTCCCTAGAATTGTATAATTCTATTAATGCTATGCAATGGCAAGGAATTGAAGTTGGGGACATTTTCCATCTTGTTATAAGTCTTTTCTATCAAAGTTTTTTTTTTGCAATAAAACTATTATATCTGTATTATGTGCGTTATGATAGAAACCGGTCGAGATGTAATCTATTTCCATTTCTAAAAAATATAGAATATAAGCATCACGTTGCTCCACCGCCCCTTTTATTATTCATAAATAGCACACGTGATCCACTTACAATACACTACGAGAACACACGAGTACACACCATACAAATTACTGGTAAAACTAAACGCACTTAATTGGGAATAACTACCCGGCACACACAGACTGAGACGTACATATATATATGCACGCCCAAACTTATTCAAGCAGATAACAAGCAAGTACCCTCTAATACGAGCAGTACGTAGTTATTATTAGTATCACGTACGTACGTACGTAACGGGACGGTAGTAGCTACTGTAGCATTTTTTGTACGTGTCTAGGGGCGGGACTGTCCGTACTCGCCGCACCGGTTGCAGCAGCTGTTGCAACCCTTGTCGCAGCAGCCCGACTCGCTGCAGGGAGGATGCTCGCATGGCGGAGTTGGAGGGCACTCATGCTGGCACGGCGGAGATGGAGGCGGAGGGCACTCGCCGCCGCTGCATCCGCAGCAGCAGCAGCCCGGCTTGCAGGGAGGATGATGATTCTCGCATGACGGAGATGGCGGGCACTGACCACCACCGCAACCGCCGCCGCTGCATCCATTGCAGCAGCAGCCGGCGGCCGACTCGCAGCAGGGGGGATGGACGCATGGAGATGGAGATGGGGGTGGATGTGGAGGGCGAGGGCACTCGGCGCACTGCTCGCTGCAACCGGCGCCGCAGCAGCAGCCGCCGCCGAATTTCGCCTGCGGCCGATGGCCCGACGCTTTGCCGTTGCCCGATGACGTTCCGTGGTCGCCGCCGGCGCCGGCGTCGGGGTCAGCTGTCGGTCCCTCGTTGGGCTCTGCACGTACATATAAACGTGAGTTCTGATCTGAAAAGTATATATAGCAGACGCATACATATATGCTAAGAACACTGAACGCATATGCAGTATATATATAGCAGATGATTTATTTGTCATGGATGAACGCTTTTGTGCGTTGTGGCGCTGCTACAGATAAGGAAAAAAAAAAACAACAAACATGGATGTTAACATGGACATTTAATTAGCTAATTCGTGCATGCAGTTAATTAATTGCGTCCCGTACGAGGTTCTTGTCGAGCGCAGTTGACGAGGAAGGCAGCAGCGAGCAGCAGAGTGAACACGAGTAAACCCTTGGACGCCATCGTTTATATCCCTTCTCTTCTCACTGAATGTGATGAGATTAAGATCGAATTACTTGCTGTGTGATGATGAGAAGATATCCATGCAAACCGAGCGTATATTTATAGCCAACGTAATAAAGCAACAACTGAAAATTCAGTTACTGAACGCACGAGGCCGGCCGGCTGCCAACTGATGACATGATGGCTACCGGATCGTACGTGTGCGCGTGCGTTTTCACCGCGTTGACGCCGTCTCGATCGATGGGAGTTTGAAGACGCGATCGATATATATGTGCCATGTTTCCAGTTGACTACATGACTCGATATGCTCTGCTTTGCCAGCCATATAACTGAACTTTTAGTGCATACGTATTCGTACAGTTCATGAGTTTTACAAAAAGGAAAGTACGCTCTATTCGTATTTCAAATCCCGTGTGTGTTTCACGGAACATAGCGTCTGCCTTTTTCTCCAAAGAGAAACTGGATCAAGTAATTATTTTCAGGCTGGCGCAAACTGTACATGACGTGACGTGTTCCCACGCGCTGAATTACGTTAGGAAATGTAAAAAGTTACTGCGTCGAATATGTGGTCTTGTACTCTCCCTTGCTAGAGTAAGTTTAATAATATAGCCAACTACTGACTCTAAAAATTAAAACATCATTTATAGTCAATCTAATAGTTCATTCATACAATATTGAGTTGTATATATATAATGATTAATACTGAATCCATCTATTTCTCTCACATAGTTTATTGAGGCTCGAGCTGCAACTAGCTACAAATATGTAGCCCACTTTTCTTTTATCCTCTATCTGTACATAAACACAAGCAATTTTGTTCATCCTATAGCACCTATTTCTCTTTGGTTAATAGGCCGCATGCTTTATTGCATGTGGCTACCCGCACGCGATAATCGTTGCATTATCGCATGTGATCGGCTTAAGGTGCCGCACAAAATATCGCATGCGGCCCCTTAAGTCGCCCTCATGCAATAATGCAACCATTATCGATTGAAGGCCGCTTAAGGGGCCACATGCGACAGTGCATCATCACATGCAACCCCTTAAGTGGCCCGCGCACGATGATGACCTATATATCTCCATCTAGCCCAAGCTGGAGCCATTTGAATCCGAAGTTTCTCTCTACAAAACGAAGTAACAAATAGGGGGGGGGGGGGTTCAACTTGAAATATTTGCTTGGTTTTGGTATGAAAGGTAACATACTTGCTTACCTTTTTCATTTGCCTCCATTTATTTCAAATTTCGTCGGAGCAATGCAAACAATTCGCATTTCTATAAGAGGACTTTTTTGAGCCTTTTTTTTTTCAAAATCTAGCTCAAATACAATGTTACGATGAGAAAATTGTTACTCTCTCCGTCCCAAAAGATAAGGGTTTTTGGGAGACCCTTATATTTTCGGACGGAGGGAGTATTGTAATCACTAGTACATACTACAATTAATGTAATGTTGCATTAATTTTGAGGAAATACTCATGTTTTCTAAGAAATACCTGCGTTCTAATTTTTTTTGTACCGTGACTATGTATATATGGATTGGTATGGATGTACAAGATTTTCGAACAACTCATCCTACATTTATGAAGGAAACATCCAAATTTATTGATCAGGCTAAGGCACATGCTTTGAGGGAGAATATGAGGAAATTTCTTTTGACCATGCTTTGATTGCAACAATCATAAACTTTTGAGATATCCCATTGAAATATTGGGATACATAGTGGAGCGTGGATTTATGGACGATTATTTGTAACATATGTATAGATATGTAGACAAATGTTTGGAGCGTGGATTCTTGGATGATTTGTAGCGCCCGTTCCGTCGTGGCGCCTAGCGGGAAAATTATCTCTTAAAAACCCTAATTGCGAAATTTGTTTCTTTGCTTGTTGTCTAGTGTCCGTGCCATCTCAAGATCTCAATCCCCGATCTATCGTCGAGTCCATTTCCGAATCCAATCCTTCCAAATCAAATTCCTCCGCAAAAGTCTATTTTGCCTCCCCTGGGGGTCGATGGGCCGATTTCCTCCCGGCGCGCTCCCTCTCCCCCTCTCCCGGGCGCTCTCTCTCTCTCTCTCTCCCTCTCCCCCGGCCCTCTCCCTCCCGGCGCGCTCCCTCTCCCGGGCGCTCTCTCTCTCTCTCTCTCTCTCTCTCCCCCGGCCCTCTCCCCTCCCCGGCGCGCTCCGCTCCTCCCCGCTCAGCTCCGCTCCGCCTCGCCCGCGCGCCGCGCGCGCGTGCGCGAAGAGCCGCCGCGCCGAGCGCCCCCTTCCCCTCTCCTCGCTCTGCCGCGCCTGCGTAAGCCGCCCGCGCCGAGCCAAGTCCTCCCTCTCCGCTCCCTCGCTGCCACTTCCCGCGCGCCGTGTTCGCGTGCGCACGCCCGCGCGGACGCCGCCCGTTGCAAGCCGCGCGCGCGTGCCGAGTGGCCGACCGCCCGGTCGCCGCCGCCGTCAGCCTCTGCACGCGTCTGTCGCCCGTGTCGTCGCGCCGCTCCAAACCGCCCGCTGTCATCGCCGTCGTCACCGCCCGGCCCCCGCCACTCTGCGCGCAAGCCGCCAAGGGACGGAGGCAGCGCCCCTCCTCCCTCTGCCGCGTCGCCCCCGCTCCCCTCCTCCTCTTTCCCCTTTTCCCCCGCCGGCGTCATCCTCCCTGTCGCCGCTTTGGCCGCGACCGCCGAGCGCCAGCTCGTGCCTTGACCGCCCTAAGTCGGTTCCCAAACCGACATTGCCGCCCCCTTTAAACCCCAGCTCCTTCCCCTCCAATCTCCCTCGTTTTCGCCTCCTCGCCATAGCTGCCGCCTCCGTGCTCTGTTCGCCGTCGCCGTTCGTTGTTGCGCGTGTCGAAGGAGTCGGCACGAGCAAGGACGCGGAAGGGGACTTCGGCCGCGCCCTCTCCTTCCTCTTCCCCGGCCCAAGGCCGGAGAGATTACTCCCGCGCCGTCGGCCTCTCGTCACAGCGCCCCTCCTCATCTCGGTGATGCCTCCCTCCGTTCTTCCTCCTCGCTCCATCTCCTCCCCCTAGCTTTCGGTAGTAGCTCGAGTAGACTCCCCGTAGTTAGCCGGCGCCGCCCTGACCGTTGCCGTCGCTCGCCGTCGCCGCTCGAGCTCCGTAGCACCCACACGTCGCCAGCCTCGCTCGGCGTAGCTCCGTCCAATCCGACGCTAGCATCGAGTTCCCGAAACCGCGTAGATGCTCTCACCGCCGGGAATCGACCCCTCGTGGCCTCGCCGCCGTTTCCCTCTTCCCTCCCCGCCGGTTGTCGCCGCCGCGATTCGCCGCCGTCAAGCTTCCTCTGGCAAATCCGAGCCGTTGGCTCGTCTCCCCTCATCACGAGCAACCGCCCGGTGTGCTCGCTTTTGTCCGTATCGCCGTGGTTCGCTCCGCCGCTCGCCGCCGCCGCCCGCCGTCCATTCGCGGCCGGGTCATCGTCTACCTCCCGCCGGCCCGCGTGGCAGCCACATAGGCGCCACGTCGGCGCCAGCTCAGCCTAGACCGGGTCGAGCCGACCCCGGTCAGTCCCTCCCCGTGCGCGCGTTCCACCGCTAGTCGTGAGGCTGCGCGTGGGCCCGCCGCATCCGCGTCCACCGCGAACCGCGCGCGTGCACCGCGTCCCTCCCCCGCCCGCGCGCATGAGCCGCGTACTCCCTCCGCACGGTGAGCCGAGCCGCTGACAAGCGGGTCCCACCCGGGACCGCGCATGGTGAGCCCGGTCCACCGGCTCTCTCTCTCCTCCCTCCCGCGCGCGCGCGTCTTGGGCCGCTCTGGGCCGCCTTCTTGGGCCGGCCGGCCCGTTAAGCTCGGCCGAGCCGCCCTTTTTCTCGGGCCGCGCCCTAGCCGCCCGAGGGAAGTCTATATTCCCTCCCTCTCCCCTTTTCTTTTCTTTTTCTTTTCCAAAAAAAAGGGATTTAAGTAAATCCTTTTCCTTTAGACCAAAAATCCAATAATCTTAGAAATTCAATATCTTCCCAACCGTAAATCCGTTTGACTCCGTTCAAATTCCAAAATTTCTCAAATCTCGAGATCTATCTAATGGCACGCTTAGAGGTCATTAATAGGGCTTTATTTTCGCCGTTTGTTGAGTTGTCCTGTTTTGCGTATAGTTTCGGAGCCCGAAGACCCGCAGTGCGAGGATTTCGAGGATCAAGCTCCAGATCTCGAGCAAGGCAAGCCACCTTTGAACATCTTGAGCCTATATTTGAAATCTAATTATATTGCTTGCAAAATATTATGCATTGATAGGATTGCACTTAATCTGTTGTTCCGTCTGCAAGGCAGATTGGCAGACCTACCTAACTTGTTGCATTTGATCCTTCCATTGTTAATTGCTATACCATGTCCCCTTGTAACCATCCAGTTGCGCCTCGATATTCGTGCACCCTGTGCCAGTATCGACGGTCGCCTTCAAACTTAAAATCTGAGTAACAACTTGGGTAAAACTGGAGTTTTACAAAAGACTTGGAAAACCCGACACCTGGGTCGCTGCTTGCGAACTAAATGAATTTTCAAAACCGCGGACCGGGAAACGTACCGGGTGTACGGTTTCCCGCTCTCGCACTTAAGGACCGATTCCTTGGAATTTCATCCAAACATAAGACAAGTACGACCACATGGGTGGAATGGGACACCCCTGGCTGAGTAACTAGCTTATCAGGGGAGCCTTGATGCCGAGAGACATGTGGATTCACCAGGGTGGTGTCGGGGAGGACCCCTGGGCTTCTTGGCACAGTATGGTCTGGGACCTAACCTGTTGTTGGTCTGGGACCCCTCTCGTCGGCACATGGTAAACCTGTGTCGGCTTTGGAAATGCCTTGTCATGAAAGCTTGGAGGTCTCCCGACGTGGCTGATCCCCACGGGCTGGGTGATCCGGGTTAGTAATGTCGTGTGGGTAAAGTGTACCCCCTCTGCAGAGGTTAACAAACTGTTCGAACAGCCGTGCCCACGGTCATGGGCGGATGTGAGGTGATTCCTAGCGTAGTTTGGTTTGACTACTGCTTGTGAAATTGCTGTGTGAAAAGGGGTTCGGTGTTTGAAAAATCTGCAGCTGATGGGATCAGCTAGGCCCGGGTGGCCGTTTGAAAAGTTGTTGGCCCAGGTGGCCGTTTGAAAAGTTGTTGGCCCGGGTGGCCGTTGAAAAAGCTGTTGGCCGGGTGCCAACCTTGTTTAAATTCTAAAGACTGATACATTGCACATACTCCGACCGGACGGGACGCACTGTCTCATCCGTGTCGTTTGAGAAGCACTCACTTAGTTGTTTCAGAAAAGAGTTCAAATAAAATTAATTGCAAAAACACCAGCCTTTCCTTGAAGCCTGCATTAAACACTTATTTCCCATGGCTTGCTGAGTACTCCCGTACTCACCCTTGCTCTATATAAATAATTCCCCCCCAGTTGCTGAAGAAGATGAAGCGGATCCTGCTGATAAGGAGTTCTTCCAGGAGCAAGCCGGCTACGATGAGTTTTAGGGTTTCGGCCTAGTTCCCAAGTCGCGCCTGTGTTGATTGGTCCAAGTCCTGGCTTCCGCTTTCCTTTTGTAATGCGGTTGTGAGCTCGGGATCTGTCCGCAGCCCAACATGACTGTACATCTACTCTATAATAAAGAGACCTCTGTTGCTGTGATATTCTGTCTCCCTGTGATACTAGCACTGTTTCCTGGGACTGGTATCGATTAACAGGTTAAATTGGAGCATCACGGGCTAGTTCCGGTCGGGACTAGTTCGGGGCGTGACATGATTACTTCTAATATATGTATAGATATGTACATAAATGTTTTGTGTGTTGTGTATTCAAAGACTATTTACTTGTCAATGCAATATTGTAGTAAGAACGACAACTCGGTTAGCTCATATGCGTACCATTCCAAATTTCGATTATAAATAGATATTAACTCTTGAAAAAAAAATCACAAACCAAATCAATTGACAAACAAAGGAGTTACCTGAACGACTTACTGGATGAACCATATATAAAATATCAAAGCAACAAAGTTAATGGCAATATGGTGGTGCATAAATCAATCAAGAGAGGGCACCGCATCCGGTTCGATGAAATCATCGACACAATGAGAGCTGGCAGTTGCCAAAGATCCCAATGCTCCTGGGCCGTGGCCTCCTCTTGGTGTTAACACACACACACACACACACACAGCTACGATGCATGCAAAATCAATAGGAATTCAAGAGACCCTGATAATGTCCTAAATAATCGATAAATTGTATAAGTTTATAGGATTACTCCGCCACCCTTTTATTGTTATTATTATTATTATTATTCCATAAAGATACATCTAACTCGTACATCAAATAACACACGGTAGTTTGGTAAATACTCCAACTGGTAATTTAATAAGACCACATTCAGTATTATCACGGGCGTGCGGTTGATATATATAAAGCTAATTAAAGTGGTATATACTTATTCGTTATTACAAGTCACACACACAAAGATGTACTACGGCCACGGATGGCAGCAACGGAAGCAATCGCCGTTGAACCCACGGGCACAACAAGCGCCCGATGGGCACCGGCGGTCGAACCACCACACATTGTTCCATCCAGACCAACCCGCAGGATCGCCATTGATGTACTGTACTCCATACGAGTAGGAGTAGCTGCCGTCCTGTCCTACTGATCCGTAGGAGTAGCCGCCACCGTTTGGCCACCCTGCAGGTGTTGGCGGTGGGTAGTAGGCTGAGACGGCGTTGTAGCCGGTAGATCCGCCTGCTTGGCCGTAACCTGATGATCCGCCGCCGCCGCCTGGACTAGTGTTCGCTGGCTCCGGGTCATCAGCCTCTGCATTTCCATCCATACACAAATATTAGTGAGAGAATAAAGTTATATATGTGGCTCTGTTTTCTACTTTATTATATTGTATATGGGATCAGGAGATCTTTATTGTGTGTATATAATAAATATATTGTATATAGATTTGATCGATCTTTGGTCTAATTTTCACATATATGCAGTTGGTGCGTTCACGACCGACATACGATGATCTTCACCTGAGGTGGCGAGGAAAGCAGATGCCAGCAGGAGCACGGACACGATGAGTAAACCCTTGGACGCCATGGCTAAGCTATTGCTAGCTATCTCTTGATCGAATCGATCGATCGTAAACCCTTTCCTCTCAGTACGGCAAGTGCGTGATGATAATTAAGAAGCTATTCTAGCGTATTTATAGGCATGCACAGAACTGAACTGAACTGAAACCATATGAGATTTTCTCCCGGTCCGTTGACGCTATCTCGATCGGTGGGCATGTTGACGCTATATAGTTGACTGCTTGATTAGTGTTCTTCTGCAATTAATTTAATTAATTACTCGGTCGGCTGCAACCTGATCCGATCCTGTACAGCTCCAGATAATCCATGATGATGTGCAAACCGAGCTCAGCTCAGCTCAGCTCAGCTCTCCTGGACTAGCTCCACAAACTTTTCGTGCATTTGTACGTACGTATAGTACAGTTCATGCGTTTTTCAAAAAGGAAAGTTCGCTCTCTTCGAATTTCAAATTCAGTGTGAGTTTTACAGAACAAAGCGTGTGCCTTTTTCACCAAAGGAAATCGACCGTGATGTGTCAAGCTTGATCCTTAAGGATCCTTAAGGATCAAGTCCTGAGCGTATAACGTAATTAATTTCAGTATAGCATACTGTACATGACGTATTCCACGCTGGGTTATGTGAGAAAACGTTAAAAGCGAGTGCGTCGAATATGTCTATACTAAAAAAACGGCGCACCTATTAGCACGCTTAACTACTTAGCCCGGCCGTGTATTTTTCTTTTGTGCGTGAAGCGTGCGTACACTATTTAGATTATTCGGAAACATGGGTTTCTTTAATACTTACTAGTAGTTTGATATGTTTTGTAAAATCCCTATAAACATATACAGTTAAAAGTATTATTTAGTGTGTTTTCAGTTCTGCATATAAGATGTTCAAATTTGTAGAATTATAAAAAGACCCATTTTTTCATGTTTATATTTGCTACTAATTCTTTGACATTTCTAGCAAATATCAGATATCAACATAGTTTATACCACTGTCTTCGATGGTTATTCCGCATCACCGCTTTAAGCTGCACCTCCTCCACTCCGACTAGCTGACGAGCACTACTTAAAAAAAAGGTTTTTTTTCTCCAAACGAGCAAAATCGTTTTGTAGAAATGCCGATTATCGCAAGTGGGCACCACAACGGAATAAAAGAACTTATTTTCACATATGGACATGTTAAGATGCTCACCTACAAAATAATTTTGGTAAAAAAAGTTTCTAAAAAAGGTACGAAAAACCTAGCGCTGGTCGATCTAGCCAGATCCACTGGTACCCCGCCACCGCCCAAAGCCGGCGGATCCACCGCTCTAGTGGTCGCCGGCAGCAAACCCGCTCTTCCCGGGGCTACCTCCGCCGGATCTGGCCATCAAGGTGGAGGATGATGAGCCAAGGGAGAGGCTTTCATGGGGCCTCATGCAGTGGAGGAGGAAGAGTCGAGGGAGAGGACATCGTCGCAAAGCCGCCAGTGCCGGATTCGGCCATCTCAAGGCCGTTGGGGTTGGAGGATGAGGAGCCAAGGCGCGTGCCATCTGCTCCCGTCACGAGTGCTTTGTCCCAGGCGCTCCGTCACTTGTTGCTGGTTGAGAGAGTTGATGGGTTGGAGGGGTGATGTGGAAGAGGGGAAGGGTGAAGATGGGAGGAGAGGTGGTGGGGGAGAGGATCATGATGGGTGAGAGAGGACTGCGAGGGAGAGGATCAGTTTAGGACTTAACACTAAGAGGAAGGAGAGAAAAGGAGAGGGAGAGGATATATCCTCTTCTCATGCGGACCAAAATCCACAGATGCGGAAATTCTATTTTCACATGCGGACTTCTTATCAGGTCGCCTGCAAAAATAAACTTATTTTCACGACAGGCATGTTAAGTGTTCCATTTGTGAAATTGATTTTCAAATACATGTATTTACTAGGCACCCCCTAAATCTTTTTACACACGGGTCTTCTTTTAGCTTGTTTGTAAAAATAAAGGGGGCATATGGGTGACCACAGGAGCCTAAAGCGTGCGAAGGTGATGTGCGATGGGATCCTGCGCTACCTGATCTAGCGCCACACTGACGGCCTTGCCTGCTCGTACTCCATGCTAGAGGTGGAGATCAATGCCCCTATCCAAAGCCGATGTGGTGGAAGACTGGAAGCTCGACAAGCTCATTGGCTATTCCTATTGGATTTTTGTGATGTATGTGCGATTGTTTTGGATCTACTGAATTTGTTGGTAATTTGTTTGAATCTCAGCTCTTACAAAATTCCAATCAACCAAGACCAAAACCAAATTACCTGAGACTGCAATATTCGGTCCTAGCGTTTTTCCAATGCAATTCGGTCATTATATTCAAATAGCTGAATTTCTTCAAATACAATACCAATTTTTTTAGACTGAATATCCACCCCTACGGCCATGTGCTAGACCATCGTGGCGATGGGTGCCGCCGTCGATTAGTTACCACTTACCCATGGGTATCATATCTGACACCTACGAATTTTAGCTGGTATATACGATGGAGTAATAGATCTGATACCAGTGGATATCAATTGGCATTGATGGAGTACTAGATCTGATAACCACCTGGTACCATACTATCTTGAATGGGACACTGTGCAATAGAAACCTCTTTTTTCATTATTCTTTGTTTTTATTTCTTTATTTCTATGTTTTGTATTGGTACAATGGATATTTAAATGTTGACATTGTATGCGAGGATGAGGTTGGGAATCAAGCATTGGTGTCAGTTTCACAGCCAGCACTAATTTGAAGGCACTTATACCAATATATTATAGGTGTCGGTTCAAATTCCAATTGAACCGACACATATGCATGTAGGCACGTAGGGGGTTCATATGAGCCATCACCTACAGGGGGTTCTGTAGCAGTGGGCAGTAGGCATGTTCACGTGGTCTCACTGTTTTTCTTCTAAGGACTATATTGAACTACGTGAGAAAACTTTAGGAACTTGTTTGAACACGGGGACACAAAAGGGACTAAGGCTCCCCGACACTCAAAATAAAGCATGTATTATTGCGTCATTAAGTAAATACTAACTATTTTTTTAAAAAATAGATTAATATGATTTTTAAAACAACTTTTGTATAGATTTTTTTTTATAAAACACACCGTTTAGCAGTTTGAAAAGCGTGCCTACGAAAAAGAGAGTGGTGAGTTGGGAAAGATGGGGGAAGAATACAGCCTAAAAGGGCCGTATCTCTTCTCTACTATTATAAAAATTGAAGATGTTTTTGCCGGTATTTTGGTACGTTATCCGTATTTGAGTCGGTTTTTTTAGTTCATTTGCATTTGGAAATAGAGATTTGTATTTGAGTAGGTTTTAAGTTTGTTTGATTTTGGAAATATAGAAGGAGTTGTATAAGAAATCTCTTTGAAAAAACTGGCATGCTAACTCGAGACGATCGGGCTCCTAATTGTAGCTTATGATCTTGTAAAAACAATATCAAAGCAAATTCCTACAGTGAATTTTACCTTAGCTAAACCGTATAAAAACAATAAGATTAAGATAACCTTCAACCGTTGCAACGTACGGGTATTTTTTCCAGTTAAAAAAAAGTACATGTATATGCAATGTTTAATACTTATATAGAATTAATCTCCCACCAGTCCGCTCTATCGCTCTTTTATTCCACGTGTGATCTATTCATATTTCATACATAGCACACTTGACACGTACAATACATTACTTAATTATATGGAGTACCAAACTACGTATATACAGATACACACTTGCGAATAACGACAGTTTTTATTATAACTAAACCAAACCTCTACTGCAGTATGTGATGGGCAGTAATTAATAGACTAATAGCTGCTATAGCCAATAGGGTCGTCATCGATCGATCGGCGGCGCATGCGATATGATATGATCGGGCTAGCTAGTGGCGGCCGCCGAACTCGCCGTGATCGCAGCACCGGTGGCCGCGGTCGCCGCCGTACCCGCCCTCGCAGCAGCCGTACTCACAGCGACGATGCTCGCATGGACCGCCGCAGTCGCCGTCGTCACCGCCGCCACCGCATTCGCTGTACCCGTAGTATTTCCCCTGCGGACGATGGCCACCATACTTCCCCTGCGGCCGGTGGCCATTATAGTACTTCGCCTGCGGCCGGTGGCCGGACTTGGACACTTTGCCGTCGTCGTAGCCCGATGATCCGTCGCCGCCGCCTCCGCCGCCGCCGCCGGCGTTGGGGTCAGCTGCCGGTCCCTCGTTGGGCTCTGCAAGTGCACATTCAAATATATACGTGAGTACGTTTCTCATCCGAAAAGTATATATACACGCATATACATATATGCAAGAACAAGGAAAAGATCAACAGTAATTAACATGGGTGTTGACTTGGGAGATTAATTTTTGTGTGCGTGTGGAGTGTGGACTCGATCTTTAATTAGGTAATTTGTGCATGAAGTTGGTGCGGAAGCTCACGAGGTTCTTGTCGAGCGCAGTTGACGAGGAAGGCAGCGGCGAGCAGCAGAGCGAACACAAGTAAAGCCCTGGACGACGCCATGGCTAGCTAGCTAGCTAGCTGAGATTAAGATCGATTTACTGCAAGCGCGTGAAGAAGAGAAGCTTTGCAATTAAGCAAAACAGAGCGTACAATTTATAGCCAAGAACTGAACGCGCGCAGCTGATCGCCAACGGATGTGTCCGGGTTGATGACACCATGGCCGGCAACTACCGGATCGTCTATCGGATCGTGCTTTCTCACCGCGCGCACGCGTTGACGCCCTCTCGATCGATGGGAGCCGAAGGCGGCGCGCGCGGCGTATGTGTGTGTGTGTCATATTTTGAGTTGACTACTTAACGCTTGTGCAAATTCTCTCGGCGTCAACTAGCAAAAAAGGGAGAAAAACATACTACTATATAGAGACACGCGCACGGTGTGCCTAAACAAACCGACATCACACTCTCTGGATAAGATACATGGATATAATATATGTACTCATCAAATCGAAGGATATACCATAAAGTTACCACGATTGGTCGATCTTTACCGTGTTGGTTTGACCCATCAATTAGTTCCATTGGAGTAATGCATGGCTTCAGTACGTTTGGATTAAGTTTTTGACCATCAAGCTCCAAGAAATGCATTAATTCTTTTTAAGCTTTGACATTTGGCCGTTCTCATTCTCTCATCACAAATAAAGCATTATATTGAACTTCTACGTATCGAGCCCAAATGAATTATATATAACACGTACATGCAATTAAGACAGACAACTGCTAGTTTAATTATATGGTTGACCAGAGCGCATTATGTTATATAAAAATATGAATACATCACAATACGAAAGAACATTTGACGAGAAAAAAAAAACTAACAGATTAAGTTTTTCACATGATCGGAGTAAGTTAGTAAGAAATACTGTATATGGAATTAAATAAATAAAGTACACTATGCGGACAGTCAAATCGACTTTTTCGTGCGCGTGATCGTGTGTTTCCTGGAAGGGAAAAGTAACACACATCGGAATTCAAATTCCATATGCGTTTACAGAACATAGTGTGTGTCGTCGATCGTCTTCGAAAGCGAAACATTGTATAATTAAAGATTGAAGCCCTAAACCTTACCACCACTACTCAATGATCAGGGTTTTGCTGAATTGATTTTAACAGGGGATGGTACATTTGGTGGGAAAGGAGGCAAGTGGTGAATGGTGAAAGGATTCAGATGGCTGCTAGATCAGCTATATCTATTGTATGCTCTAACACTAAATTATAAGATGGCAAAGAAAAAGTCGGATGCAAAACCACGGGAAGGATTGCATAAACCTCCTGAAGTAATTCTCAAGGTAAACATAGGTGCTTCCTTTGACATCGTCTCGAGTACAGAAGGAACCGGAGCAGTCATACGAGATTCACAAGGGACTTTTTTAGCTGGTTCTTGTAGGTACTTATCTCATATTGCTGATGCAGCAATGGCAGAAGCCTACGCCCTTAGGGATGGACTCATCCTCGCCTAGCAAATTGGTTGTCAAAATATTATTACCCAATCAGATTGTTTGCAGGTGGTGGAGACGATACAAGATGGAGGTTTTTCGGCAACAACAGCTGTGGCAATTTTCTATGAATACCAGATTTTGATATATGATTTTGTTAAAGTCTCTGTTGAGCATTGTAAAAAGGAAGCTAATTGTGTGGCACATGTTCTAGCTAATCATGCTTTTAAGTTTAAGAATTATTGTAATTGGGTTGATGAGGCCCTAATTTTCTTGCTGAACGTTCTAGTGAACGATGTAATTATGTTTACAGATTAATAAAGCGCGCTAAATGACTTCCCTAAAAAAAAAGATTGAAGCCCTGCGTGGCTAGAGCACCGGCGATCGTCTTCGTAACTCATTCTCGCACGAAAATAATATAGCTCATTAACACATAATTAATTAAGTAGTAACTTAAAAAAATTAAAATAGATTGATATGATTTTTTAAAATAACTTTATAAAGAAAATAAATTCATCATTTCACAGATTAAAAAATATGTGTGCGCGTAGAAAATGAGAGAGTGAAAATGAAAAAGGACGTGCGAACATAACCTAAGACGTGTTCCTCATACGGCTTACCCATGAAGCACGCTTTCGTACATGCACGTACTGAACTATTTGGAAATCAGGTTGATTTCCAAGTGACGACTTATGATTTACTTTCTTCGTTTTATATATTATAATACACTTTTACCTTTTTTGTCAAATAAGTTTAATCAAGTTTATAAAAATGTACTCCCTCCGTTTCGTTTTATTTGACACCGTTGACTTTTTAGCATATGTTTGACCGCTCGTCTTATTCAAAAACTTTTGTGAAATATGTAAAACTATACGTATGCATAAAAGTATATTTAACAATGAATCAAATGATAGGAAAAGAATTGATAATTATTTAAATTTTTTAAATAAGACGAGCGGTTAAACATGTGCTAAAAAGTCAACGGTGTCAAATAAAACGAAATGGAGGGAGTAGTAACTTTTGTAACACCAAATTAGCTTCATTATGCCTGTTTGGTTTTAAAAAATATTATTACGTTTTTTTATAATTTTGGTTAAAACTTAACAAACTTAGTTTGATCAGAAACGTCTTGTAATATGAAACGGATGGAATCAAGCATGAGAAATTTGATTAGAATTTGGTTAGTTGGCGAATCATGCATGAGAAATTTTTTAGTGGCTTATCGTCTTGTTATGACTTTGGTTATATACAAACCAAGCTGGTAAAATTTTGATGGAAACCCTAGTGCACAGTAATGCAGATGTGTTGTCTCTAAAGTATGTAGTCCCTATAGTAAAGAGGTTGTGTTCTTAAGTTCTCAACATCTCTCTCATTTTTCATGCACAAGCTTACTAAACTATTAAATTAAATGATGTGTTTTTTTAATAAATTTTTATATACAAATTGCTTTAAAAAGTTATATTATTTTTTTAAGTTTTTTAGCTAATTAATTAATTAATTATGTGCTAATGAGCTAACACATTTTTCATGCGGTGGAGAAAGGTAAACCTTTCCTATCAAACACAGCTGTCTATTTCCAAAATATAACTTAACTAGCTTCTACTCCCCCCTGCCAATAATATTTGACATTAGGAGTACTAGATTACTGGTGGTTTCAAAGTCAAAACGTTTTTTTTTTACTAGAGGGGAGTACTAGAATATATTCGCAAATTTGATATTACTTCCAGAATGTACAGCGACACTCTTTTATACACACACTAATCTGAATAAAAGCGAGGACGTGATGCACCTCACATATTTGTGCCCATTATCTCCTTTTGTGATGTGCTTGATTCGAAAAGATCAAATACAGGCACCTACCGCTTCTCAATGCCTGAATATTATTGTGGGAGGGAAGGGTGCGAATGTGGGCAATCCTTCAGCAGAGCCGCTCTACAACAGGGAAAAACCATATGACGAGCAAAACTTGTGTCCAGCCAAATAATAACCATAATCGAATGAGATACTATATAATACAACAAATTTGGATAAAGCCTTTTTTTTCATGGATACGCAAAAAGATTACATGTCAGTATATTAAAAGAAATAGAGTTTTATTCACACAACGCAAGGAAAATGAAAAGAAAAAAGAGTTAAAAAACTAAGAACTAAAAGTTGTTGCTCCTATCTAACAGGAGAGGAGGCAGAGGAGCCTCCTACTCTTCCAACAGGTCCCCAAACGAGACGGCACCAGTGAGAGACCAGAAACGACCCTCCTGGTGGATGGACTCTAGAACCATCGTGACCGGCGAAAGGGAAGAATCGAAAACCATCGAGACCGGATAAGCCTGTTCAAATTCATTTTAATTTTCTACCCAATAATATATTACAACTATATTATTAGGTGTGTTTGGTTTGTGGTCAAGGTTGGACAAGATTTGGCCATTCATATTTGCAGGGATATGGTGGTACAGTTTTTTGTTTGGTTGGGTGGATATGGCCATCCAGTTTATTTGGTTGGGTGGATGAGATGTATTGAATGAAAACAATAACATACTAATTAATAATAAAATATATTAATTATCATTAATCCATCCATAATTTATACTAATTAACAATAAAATACACTATTTATATCTAATCAACACTTTGACAAGTTAATTACTAATTAATAACAAAATACATTAATTATTGCTAGTCAACAACTAATGATCAAGATTAGTAAAGGTGGATATCCTTATCCGGCCGGATACACTCAGCAAGCATCTTTGTGGAATATCCCTCTCCGGGCCGTCCTATCCATCCTCGTCTACCAACCAAACACACTCAAAAACTGAATTACTATTTTTCATTTAGGGATATCCTTTCCAATAACACACCCTAAATTGAGATGGCCGAGAGCTAGTCTGAGTATATGTTTACTTGGGCCAGAATTACTAGTACTCTTTTGACCGTTCAGAGAGCTATTGGGCCGGTTTTGCTCAGGGGTCAGGTTTTGCTAGCTTCGAGTTTTCGAGTACCGGTCGATTTTCCACCATTCATATGCTGCGATAAAACCTCCAGAACTTGACATCATTTTCCGGTGGGCTCGCATGGTGTGTGTCAATTTGCAGAAAATGATTACTAAAACTTGAACAAACGACCCAGAGATTTACCCTAGTCATCTCGCGAAAATTAAATGAAAGGAAACGACGGGCTATCTGCAAAGGATGAAGTTTTGGTGTAAAGTTGGTTCCTTCGTTTCCTTTGCATGCATGCATCGTAAAGAAAGGATATAAGAGATCGGAGTTGCTAGAAATATGGCGCCATATGCTACAGTCGATTTTTTTTCAACCACTTACACAATAGTTATACCTCATTTACACCCCACTTACATATGTAATTGGTATGTAATTTTCGAATTTACATATGTAATTTTAGTACTTACATATATAATTTTGAGACTTACATCGTAAATACACTAAAATTACATATGTAATTTAGGGACTTACAATGTAAATACATGCCGACTATTTTTTGATGAAAAATATGGCGCCATATATATAGCTACACCCTAAGAGATTGCGTACGTAATTAGCCTGACACTGTAAACTATGCACATACTTTACCAACTACTCCACTTTATAAAGTTGATCATCACCTTATAAAATCTTCT